GAAAAAAACTGAATGACACTTTTAAATTAAAAATTAAAAACAAAAGATGAAATGATTACTGGGTCTTAGCTTTAAGCAGAAAACAAAGTTTTAGAAACAGAAAATTTATTAAAACAGGAATAAAATCAGCCATGAAGTTCTGGTAGCATGGAGGAGGAAGTGAACAAGGATTGTTGAAAAGGTCAGATGATGTTGAACACAAAACCATTGCTCCAGAAGGTAAATTCTCCCTTTATACTAGCCCTCCCTCAAACCCTGACTCTTGCACCAGATTAAAAACCTATATAGACACATGAAAGGATGCTTAACATCAGTTGTCATCAGGAAAATGCAAATCAAAACCCCAATGAGCTACAGTTTCATGCCCACCAGGATGAGTAGAATCAAAAAGGCAGATAATAAACATATGGAGAAATGGGAATCCTTATATACTGCTCCTGGGAATGTAAAATGGTGTGGCCACTGTGGAGAATGATCTGTAAGTTCCTCAAAAAGTTAAACAGCATTACCATTTGACCCAGCAATTCCACTCCTAGGTATATACCCAAGAGAAATTACAACATAGCCACACAAAAACTTGCCTTGAATGTTCCTAGCAGCGAGAAGATAGAAACAACTCCAACATTCCTGATGAATGGACAAACAATATGGTAGATACGTAGATCACATCAATATACACAAACACATGTATGCAGTGGAATTTTACCCATCCACAGGACAGATGTACTGACACGTGCTACAGCATAGATTAACCTTGAAAACCTGATGCCGAGTGAGGGAAGGCAGCCACAGAGGACCACATGTGGTAGGATTACATTTCCAGGAAATGTCCAGAACAGGGAAATCCAGAGACAGAAAGTAGGTTAGGGATTGCCTTGACAAAGTGGAAACCACAGTCCCGGATCAGCTCTGGAAGAAGCTGAAGTAGGAAGAGAAGAGGGATGGTCTAGACGACACCAACCCAAAGTGGGGGGGAGGAGCTGAGGAGCCAGTGAGAATAAGAGAGGAAGTTAGGATTGAAAGTGGTCACGGAAGCCAGGGCAAGAGTGAGGGCAGAGGTGACCTGCAGAGAACAGGTGCAAAGCAGGACAGGTGGGGGCGTGGGGGTGGAGTCATGAATAAGAAAAGTAGAAGGTCACTGGCGACTTCTGAAGAAGCACCAAAGGCGATAGGTTCAGAGTCGGTAAGAAGAAGGGGCAGGAACCAGTGAATTTGTCAAGAAACCAGACCATAGGGGCGCCTGGGTGGCTCAGTCGGTTAAGCGGCTGCCTTCGGCTCAGGTCGTGATCCCAGGGTCCTGGGATCGAGCCCCGCATCGGGCTCCCTGCTCTGCGGGAAGCCTGCTTCTCCCTCTCCACTCCCCCTGCTTGTGTTCCCTCTCTCACTGTCTCTCTCTCTCTCTGTCAAATAAATAAATAAAATCTTTAAAAAAAAAAAAAAGAAACCAGACCATAAAGAAAAGGGGGGGTCATGGGGCGAGGGCTGAGGGACCTTTCTATTCCCCCACAACAAGTAGGATTTTTTTTTAACTTTATTGAGGAATAACTGACAAATATAATTGTATATATTGAAAGTATACTATGTGATGATTTGATAAACATTGTAGAGTGATTGCAAAGATCAAGATAATGAACATCACAGGTAATATAGTTAACTCTGGTTTGTGTGCATGCTGGTGAGAATGCTCGTGATCTACTCGCAGCAATGTCCGAGTGCACGACACCACGTTATTGACTACACTCACCACGTTGTCCACCAGTTCCTCAACAGATTCTTCTTATAACTGAAAATCTGTGTCCCCTGACCACCATCAACCCCATTTCCCCCTCCCCGACCCCTAGCAGCCACCATCTTATTCTCTGTCTCCACAAAACTGGCTTTTCTTTTTTTAGATTCCACACATTAGTGATACCGCATTTATCTTCCTCTGTCTGGCTTATTTCACTTAGCATAAGGCCCTGCAGGTTCATCCATGTTGTTGCAAATGGCAGGATTTCCTTCCTTTTTTATGGTGAATAATATTTGATTGTGTGTATATATCACATTTTCCTTTTCCAGTCATTCATCGAAAGACACTTAGGTTGCTTCCATATCTGGGCTGTTGTGACTAAAGCTGTGACGAACATGGGACTGCAGATTTCTCTTCAAAACACTGATTTCAGTTCCTTCAGATACATAACCAGGAGTGGGATTGCTGGGTCACGTGGTAGTTCAAGTTTTAATATTTGAGGAACTACCATACTGTTTTCCATCATGACAATCATTTTAGGGGCGCCTGGGTGGCTCAGTCAGTTAAGTGTCCAACTCTTGGTTTCAGCTCAGGTCATGATCTCAGGATCGTGGGACTGAGCCCTGCGTGGGGCTCCACGATCAGCACGAACTCTGCTTGAGATTCTCTCCCTCTCCCTCTTCCCCCTCCCCGCTCACACAGGTGTAATTGCTCTTTCTAAAATAAAATAAATGAGGGGCGCCTGGGTGGCTCAGTTGGTTAAGCGACTGCCTTCGGTTCAGGTCATGGTCCTGGAGTCCCGGGATCGAGTCCCGCATCGGGCTCCCTGCTCAGCAGGGGGTCTGCTTCTCCCTCTGACCCTCCTCCCTCTCATGCTCTCTGTCTCTCATTCTCTCTCTCTCAAATAAAAATAAATAAATAAAAAAAATAAAAATAAAAAATAAAATAAAATAAAATAAATGAACCATTTTGAATTCCCAGCAACAATGTGTAAGGGTTTCCTTTTTCCACATTGTCACCAATACTTGTCATCACCTGTCTTTTTGATGACAACCATCCTACCAGGTTTGGGGTGATATCTCCTGGGGGTTTGGTTTGCATTTCCCTGATAACTGGTCATGTGGAGCACCTTTTCATGTACCTGTTGGCCATTTGTGTATCTTCCTTGGGAAAATGTCTCTGCAGGCCATTCACCCATTTTTTACTTGGATTGTTGTTTTTTCACTGTTGAGTTGGATGAGTGCTTTATATGTTTTGGATTTAACCCCTTGTCAGGCTTGTGAATATTTTCTCCCGTTCTGTAAGTTGCTTTTCCAATTTATTGGTTGTTTCCTTTGCTGTGCAGAAGGAATATAGCCCCACTTGTTTATTTAGCTTTTGTTGACCGTTGCTCTGGTGTCTTACCCAAGAAATCATTGCCAAGACCAATGTCAAGGATCTTTTCTCCATATGTTTTCTTCTAGAAGTTTTATGGTTTCAGATTTCACATTTAAGTCTTTGATCCATTTCTACTTTTATGAGAGGTGTAAGATAGGGATCCTATGCCATTGTTTTGCATGTAGATATCCTGTTTTCCCAGCTTCGTTTGTTGAAGAGACTCTCCTTACCCCAGTTTGTATTCTTAGCACCGTTGTCAAAAATTAGTTGACCATACATGACTGGGTTTATGTCTGGGCTCTCTATTCTGTTCCACTGGTCTATGTGCCTATATTTATGCCAGTACCATATTGTTCTTATTACTACAATTTTGTAATAGAGCTTAAAATCAAGAAGTGTGATGCCTCCAGCTTGGATCTTCTTTTTTAGAGTTGCTTTGGCCATGCGGGGTCTTTTGTAGTTCCATACAAATTTTGGGAAACTTTTTCTATTTCTGTGAAAAATGCCATGGGAATTTTTATCGGGATTGTATTGAATCTGTAGATACTTGGGGTAGCATAGACATTTTCACAATATTCTTCCAATCCAAGAAGACAGGAAATCTTCCCATTTATTTGTGTCTTCCTCAAGGTCTTTCATCAGTTTTTAGTGTATAGATCTTTTATCTCCTTGTTCAAATTTAGTCCTAAGTATTTTGTTATTTTTGATGCTATTGTTGATAGGATTGCTTTCTTAATTTCTCTTTCAGATAGTTTGTTGTCAGTGTGTAGGAACACGACTAATTTCTCTATGTTGATTTTATATCCTCCAACTTTACTGAATTAATTTATTCTAACAGTTTTTTCGAATCTTTAGGGTTTTCTATATATAAGATGATGTCCTCTGCAGAGACAATTTTACTTCTTCCTTCTGAATTTGTATGCTTTTTATTTCTTTTTCTTGCCTAATTGCTATGGCTAGGACATTCTATACTATGTTGAATAGAAATGGTGAGAGTGGACATCCTTGTCTCATTCTTGATCCTAGAGGAAAGGCTTTTAACCTTTCACTATTCAATATGATGTTAGCTATGGGCTTGTCATATGTGGCCTTTATTATGCTGAGGAACATTTCTTCTATACCTAATTTAAGTGTTTTTATCATGAAAGGATGTCGAATTCTGTCAAATGCTTTTCCTACATCTATTGAAATATGATTTTTATTCTTCATTCAGTTTATGTGGTACATTACATTTATTGATTTGCCTATATCGAACCATCCTTGCATCCCAGGGTGAATCCCACTTGATCATGGTTTATAATCCTTTTAATGTGTTCCTGAATTGCTAGTATTTTGTTGAGAATCAAACAAGTAGGATTGAGTGTCGGGTGGCTGTGTATTTAGGATAGAATCACACGTTAATAAACAGGGTGGAGAATGGAAAGCTGAAGCTACAGAAGAGAGGAAATACTCCAGAAAGGCTTTGCAGAGCATGGGCAGGTCAGGTCGACTCAGAACTGGAAGGAGCACAGCAATTCAACAGTAGGCAGTGGATGGGTTTATAGGATTTGGTATAGGGAAAGGCCAGGGTGTTGAAATTGCTCACATCTAATGGCAAGTAAAGTTAAGCTGCCCAGAGAAGGGGAAAGGAGAAGATCAAAGGACTTGAGGAGAGTGATGAAAGCCTTCAGCCAGGATGGAAACAGCAGGTGTTCTGTCCAAGGCACAGTTAAGATAATGCTGTTCTCCCTGGGTATTCCTATTTCTCATGTGCTCTCGGCTGGAAAATGGCCTCCTCCTGCCAAGTTATTTCTCCCTGGAAATTGCGTACATTACCAAAGTTGGCAGATACATTTCCGATAACCCCAAAGATAAGTGCTTAAAAAATGATGTGCCTGTCTCTAAATCCCAACAGAAACATGCCTACAAGTCCTGTAAGCCCCTGAGTTCCTGGGTTAATGATCTCATCCAGCGAGTGAATTTCTTCAATACTTGGGCCAAAATGGCTTACACTGCAATACATCATCGGTATGGACAGAAGCCACTTTGTGTCTCTTCCTTATTTGGGCTTAGAGCTTAATGGTTTACCATGTAATTTCATATGCTTGGTCTTTGCGGTTCTCAGAGCAGCATGTGAATTTAGCAAAGGGGACTGCTGTCTTTAGTTTAGGATGAAGGCCTGGAGACACATGGGGTGCTGAGGGTCCTATCTGCAGTCCGTCCACTCTAAGGGATGGACAGGCCCGGACCTGGTACCTGACTCCTTCTGTTACTCTACACTGTGTCCTGGGAAACTAGCAGGGGGAAACGCAAAAGGAAAGGAGAATCTGTTATGTGTCATTTTTAAATGTGTTTAATATGTAAATCAAAATCAGTCGAACACGAGAGCAGCCAACACTCCAGGAGTGCCTCTCCCACGTCCTCACGTACCTGTCACAGTGGCCCTGTGACACACAGGAGGTTCTGGCCTCCATTACCCTCACTGTGGACATGAGCAAACAGAGGCACAAGACATGAAGTAGCTTGCCCAGTGCTTCGTACCCTGAAAGTGGGAGTATTGAGATTTGAACCCAGAAAATCTGGTTCCAAACTGCCTCTCGGGCCATGTAACTCTGAGTGCTGGGCCACATCCTCTTAGAGAAACAGCAACTCTGGAACAATCCACAGATTCCTCAGGGCACAGCCAGGACCCCCCTGCAGAGCAACACCCCTCATCACCCAAATCCATGGCTTCCCGGCACGTCCAAACCACAGCTGGTCCTCACTAAAGTGCAAGATTGGGTCCTGAGTGGGGAGAGCTTGAGATGAAAAGGGAAGGAGGGGCCTCAGAGGGATGGAGGCAGAACGCGTGTGATGGCGGAGCCCTTGACCTCTCGGCCCCTGGTCTGCCTCCAACAGGTATATGAGATTTGTCACAACCTGGAAGCATTCCATTCCATCACCTACCCAAACCCCCACATGCCCTGAAGATGAGCACAGTGATTTCTCTGAAGGATTTCCTGCAAAATACTGGCTCCCAGCTTTCTTCTTTCCACAAGGTGAGTGTGAGAACACAGGCGAGTCTGTGCCCAGGCCCCCCACTGCCGGCCCCCCTCCTCCTCCCCTCCAGCATGAGACCCTGCATCCCACAGGCACCCTGCACCAGGGAGGTCTCTCTCCCTCCCACCCTCTTCCTTTCCTCACCCCTACCACCGCCAGACTGCACCTGCACCTTGCCAGACCTGTAGGCCATTGATCTGTGAGTCCCGAGGCCAACACCACATCCCTCTCAGAGGCCACTACCTTTTATCAGGACTCGTGGAGGTGGGTACCTGCCTGACGGGTTGAATCTGTGCTTCAGCCATTTTCATTGATTAATAAATGGTGCTGGGTCTTGGGCGCCATGCTCAGCACAGCCAACCTCGTTCCAACAGCATGTGGTTGGGGGTGTGATGAGGTGGCAAAGGGGAAACCCTAAATTGTAAGCACTGTGAGGGCAGGCCCAGGTCTGTCCTCACACCCTGTCATATCCCTAGCACCTAATACAGCCCCCAGCACCTAAAAACCTCTTGGCAAATCTTTGAAGAATGATTAAGTGATTTTCTGTGTGAATATATATGAATAAATGAACAAAGGAATACTTCTGGAGCACAACATGGGGGGACAGATACGAAGGTCAGGGAAGGCGATTCAGGAACAGCTTACTGCCCGTGAGGCACGTCCAGGTGCGTGCAGGTGGAAGGACGATACTTGCACACTGACGCGATACTTGCACACTGAGCCAGGGGCTGTTCTGAGGACATTGTGGACACAAGCTCATCAGGTCTCATGATCATCTTACGGGGTCCTTCATATCATCCCTGTTCTCAGAGAGGAAAGCTGTGGCACAAAGTTAGGTGGTTTTCCCAAAGTCACACAGCCAGACACACCTGTGGCGAGTTAGGAACGTGGTGGGTCTGACTTGGAAATCCACGTGTGTCCTCGTGGCGCTGAACTGGGAACTGAGTGTTGGAGCCGAAGGGCCAGATACGAGAGGGGAAGAGCACACTAGGGAGGTGGAAGGTTCCCACGGCCGAGCGCAAGCCCCACAGCGGGCAAACAGTGTTGGATGAAGCTGGAAAGGTGGACGTGGGCCAGCTCTGGGGCGCATAGGGCCCACTGGGGAGTCTGCCCCCTCCTGCGGCCCAGGGGCCACGGCCACATTTCAGGCCAGGGAGCAGCATGGGTGGAGTCTGGGTCCCAGGCAGTTTGGAGTCTGCTTTATTCTCCAGGCAGGAATTGGTGGTGGCCCGGAGGGGACCTGGACAACAGTCCTACATGGACCCCAAGGGAGCAGAGGGTTTGGAATGGCTCGGACAGCTGGGTGGACACTGACGTCCTTTACTGAAATCCAGATGCAGGGGGAGGAGCGAAGTGACGAGCAGTGAGGGGACAGCCACCTGGCCAGTCGGAGACATTCGGAGAAGACAACACAATGGCCAGTGGGTGGTTGGCCATTCGGGGCTGGAACTCATCCACAGACGGCGGGGCAGCATCGCGGGATGCTCGGGCCACCGCGGGACAGCTGCTGCCAAAAGCAGTCCCCTCTCCCGGAGCCTGCAGAGCCCTGAGAGGCCACGGAGGAGGACAGGAGCCCTTCAGGCTGGCCAGCACAGGCGGCCTCAGAAAGTTACAGGGAACTTGGAGAAAGGCTGTCCCAGGCAGGTGGCAGGTGCATGGACACCACGTGAGGTGCCCACAGCAGCGAGTAGAGGGCGCGGGCTGCATGGCAGGGGCTCGACTGCCCAGAGGAGGCACTAAAATTCCCTCTGTGAGTGCTGGTGTGGTGGATTCTGGGCAGGGGCGTGAAGTTCCGGGCAACGTATGCAGGATGGATTAAACCAGGAGGTGAGGAGCTATGTTAGGAGTGTTGGTATTCAGACACAGAATGCAATCCAAACCTGAGCAAAACAGAGTAAGTTCTAGGCTCAGACGAGTGGAAAGGAAGTCAAGGGGTTGGGCTTCAGGAGCGGTGGTTCCAGGTGACCTGTGTTACTCTCAGCCTGCCTCCCCCTATCCTAGCTCTGTTCCCACTGTGTCTGGGTCTCCTTTTCCCACTGCACACAGCATTTCTTGTGCAACCAAGGGGACAAACAGCCACCACAGCTTAGCAACTCCAGAGGACACATGCCTTCCTTTGCCCAGTGCCTGGAAGCCATTTCTTGAGAAAGACTCTGACACCCTCGGGTCTTATACTGTCCCTGGGACCCAGCTTTGTTGCTCCCCCAACCCCCAGGAACCCTTGGGAAGGGCACGGCCCCTGATCCCCCAGACCCCCAGGGAACTGGTTGGTGTGTGTTTGTCTCCAAAGCCTTTCTTACTGCTGTGCTTCAAGACTACGGAAGGTCCCAAGGAATCTCCACAGACACCCTCACTTTTACCCACCACGTGACCTCGGACACCAGTGACATCAGAGACGACGAGTTCTCCATAATCATCCAAAAGAAACTCAACATCGCCAGGAGGGCCTTTAAGGTACTGGCACGCTTAAAACAGAGTGAATGTCCGTTTGTCCAACCAGCCACTCCCTCCTCAGCCTGTCCACAGCCTTCCCCTGGGCCAGGTGCTGTGTGAGTCCTAAAGGTATGCGCAAATCCTCATTTTCTCCCTTTTTTTCCTTAAGCGAATTATTACTTTTTCACACTTGTGAAATGTAAAATATACATAATGTAAAACTTCTTAACCAGTTCTAAGTGTACAGTTCTGTGGCATTATGCACACTCAGGGTCCGTCTCCAGAACTTTCCTCCATGTAGATATGTGGAGAAAGCGAGCTGTCTGCTCTCTTTTCTCGAGGCGCTAATCCTACTGGATCTGGACCCCACCGTGCAACTTCACGTAACCCTAATTACCTCCTTAGAGGCCGCCTCTCTAAATTCAGCCGCGCTGGGTGATGGGGCTTCAACGCCGGGATCGGGGGGACGGGATGATCAGTCCACAGCTGCACACCTCCCCTGCCAGTGGTCACCTGGGTTGCTCTCATCCCATCTATCGTGAATAGTTTCTGTGAACTTGGCTGTGCAAGTATTTGAGTCCCTGCTTTCAATTAATTTGGGTGCGTGTCTAGGAGTGGGATTGATCATTTGGCAGTTCTGTTCACCTTTTTTGAGGAGCCTCCATACTGTTCTCCAGAGTGGCTGCACCAGTCTGCATTCCCACCAACCGTGCCCAGGGGTTCCCCCACATCCTCGCCCACACGTCATTTTCTGTGTTGTGATAGTAGCCATCCCAGTGGATGTGAGGTGGGGGTCTCACTGCAGTTTTGATGTGCGTTTCCGCAGTGATGAGTGATGCTGAGCACCCTTCGTGTGCTCGTTGGCCGTCTGTGCATCCTCTTTGGAGGATATCTATTCAAGTCCTTTGCCCGTTTTTTCACCAGGATATTTTGTTGTTGAGTTGTAGGAGTTCCTTATGTAGTCTGGTATTAATTTCTCATTGGATGTGTGGCTTGCAAGGATTTTCCTCGGTCCTGTGGGTTACCTCTCCACTCCAGGACAGCGTCCTTCGATGCACAGAAGTTGTTCATTGTGATGTAGCACAAGGTTGTCACAGCTCAGAAATTACCAACAAGCCCCAAGTCACAAAGCTGTCTGCCACGTTTCTTCTAAGAGTTTTAATAGTTTTAGCTCTTAAGTTTAGGTCTTTTGAGTTCATGGTCTGTGCGGTGTGCTGATGTCCAGTTTTCCCAGTGCCATTTGTTGAAGGGACCTGTCCTTTCCCCATTGAATATCTTAGCACCTTTATTGCAAATCATTCGAACCTGTTTATTTCTGGGTTCTCTGTTCTGTCCCATTGCTCTATACGTCCATCTTTTTGCCAATAGCGCACCGTTTGGATTACCATCACTTTATTATAAACTTCAGGAAGAGTAAGACCTCCAACTTTTTTCTTCAAGATTATTTTTACTCAGTTGTCCTTGAGATTCCTTATGAATTTTAGGATGGATTTCTCTGTGGCTGCAAAAAATGTTATTGGGATTTTGATAGGGATAGCATTGACTCGGTAATGACACAAATGTTTCAAATCCATGACCTCATCGTCCCTTTTGAAAACAGTCTTGTGTGTGCTTTCTCTTCGAGATGAATTTGACACTAGGCCTATTACGTTTCATTTTTTAACTTGGGATTTTGATCAGCTTGCTGTACATTTATGTATAAATTCGGGGGAGAATTGCTATCTGTTTGAGTCTTTCCATATAGGAACATGGTTTGTTTTTCCATTTATTCAGGTTTTGTTTTCTTCACACTGGTCTTAAAAATGTATGGTTACACTGTTTTCCTAAGTGTTTATAATTGTTGCTATTGTGAACAGGATTTTTAATGCCCTACATCTTACTCTCTGTTGTTTGCTCTCTCACCTGCGGTTATTCAAACTTGAGGTAAGGACACCAACTGCAAGTTTGGGGTTTCCTTAAAGCCACCCTCAGGTTTAATCATTTGCTAGAAAGACTGGTAGGACTCCAGGAAAGCGCTACACTTACAATTACAGTTTTATTATCGCAAAAGGATTCAAATCAAAACTAGCCAAAGAGAGACATAGGGCAGAATCTAGGACTGGGAGGGTCCCAGACACAAAGCTTCCATGCCCTCAGGGATGTGTTACCTCCTAGTGTCGATGTAGAATGACAGGATAGAGTGCTCACCTGAGCTTCGGTGTTCAGAGTTTCTGACTGGGGTTTCACTACATAGCCATATTTAAGTGAATCACTGCCCCACATGGCTTCTCCCATCCCTGGAAGTCGGCCTGATGTCACCTGGCTCAATGTCCCAACCCCTAATCTTATGTTCGCTCTTTCTGCATGGCCAGCCCCCATCCTGAGCCATCTCATTAGCATAAACTCTCTGGGGACCAAGCCTGCAGGGGGTGGTCCCAGGAATAAAATCCTGGGATCCAGAGATCACCTCCCAGGAACCAGAGAGAAGGCAAACCAAAAAAAGTTTTTTTAAGATTGTATTTATTTGAGAAAGAGAGACAGCAGGGAGAGTGGCAGAGGGGGAGGGACAAGCAGGCTCCCCGCGGAGCAGGGAGCCCAATGCGGGGCTCAATCCCAGGATCCCAGGATCACAACCTGAACCGAAGGCAGATGCTTAACTGACTGAGCCACCCAGGTGTCCCCCAAATTCTTTATTATACATCCTTCTACTCATTTCTATTTTTTTCCTAATTTAAACTGGTCAAGTTTGTCTATTTATCAAATACACCAAATTTTGCCTTTATTAACTCTAGTGGTGTTTTCTGTTTACCTTTTTAGTTCCTTCTGCTTTCTGGGAGTTTATTTTATTGCCCTTTTACTAGCTTGTGTTTATTTTCACCGAGGCACAACCTATAAAGAACACAGGTATTCCACTCAGCCCCCCATCAGGCCATAAACGAGTGCAGCCAGCACCCCTCCAGGGGGACGTCCCCTCCCAGGTGGTCCCTGTTCTGGCCTTTCTCAGCCTCCGCTGCGTCTCCTAGTTCCGACTCCCCGTGAGCAGGACCATGCAGTCTGGACCCTCCCACGCCTGGCTGTTCGTGCTCCACGGCTAGTGTGCGAGATCCATGGCTCTGCAGGGTCCCGTTGTGTCCGTGTACGACTGAGCTCCCCCTGCGGGCCTGGAGGGCTGTCGTCTGGGCAGGACTGTTATGATCAGAGCTGCTTTAGCATTATACTGATGGACATAAATCCTCTTTTGGCTTGGATTTATACCTGAGAACTCAACTGAGGGCCACGGCTAGCCGTACGGTTGTTCACGGGGGCCGCTGCGACGCACAAAAGCACGGGGAACGTGCAGGACTGAGATGAACAGCAGCAGCCCTCACGGACCAGGAAGACTGAAAACCTGGGCAGACACCCCGGGCTGGGCTGGGCAGGAAGTGCTCCGTCCCCTCCCAGACCCTGCGGCAGACAGCTGCTGGGAAAGGCAGTGTTGTGCTCGGGGACCCACTGACGCCACCTCTCTTTGATCTTAGGGCACAGACAGCACACACATGGGAGTTCACATTTTTGGTTTATTCATCGAGGGGGCAAGGTGGAATCATGAACAAAAAGTTCTAGAAGACTTGCCGCCTCGTGAGCTGTGCTGTGATTTTCCGGAAATCTACTTCTTGCCAACAAAGGTAACCCCGTGTCTACCACCAAGTCAAGCCCCCAGGGTTTCCCTCGGGGACAGCAGGCTGTCCCTCCAATCCCTACTCCCTGTGGCTTCCCTGAGACGTCTGATGATATATTTCAGATGACAAACAACATTTAAAATAGCCCAACATACTGTTACCATCTGAAATAAATGCTATGCCAACATCCAATGTTGCTTTTCAAGACTACGTTCTGGGCAGTCCTGACGGGTCAGCCGGAAAGTTCTAGTCTCTGGCATAACCTGCATGCGCAGCCACAGAACCACTAACTGGAAATGCGTGCAATTTACAACCGTCCCCCAAATCTAGCACATGAAAGATGGGAGCTCCTGGTTTGCAACGTGACCATTGGAATTTTTTCTTTTTCTTTTTAAGATTTCTACTGAAAGAGCAAATGCTTCTGAGCAGACAGATTCCAAGCTCTACACGTTCGAATGCCCCATCTATCAGACACCTGAGCGGTCAAGAATTTTGACAACCACTGGCTTACCCTCGAACTTTCTAACCTCTGTGTATTTATCCACGAAGACACCTCCTAGTCACTGGATCACAATGCAGGTCGCGCTGCTGTGTGAGAAGAATGAGAAATAAATGTACGTACCAAACCATTTCATGCTTGACTCCAGCCACACTGATGTGTTTCGAGACCATCGCTTGTAGCCAGCACCCTTCACGGAGACATCCGTGTTCAGCCAGACCAGACAGGTGCAGCCTGTCGCGCACCGCCCCCCCCAGCCCCCAGCCCCTGCAGGGGGACCCGCTGGCTGCTCTCTGTCCTCAGCACCCAGGCCCCAGGTGCACACCTCCAGGTGAGCACCCAGGCCCCAAGCGAGCAGGCCTCCCTTTCCGAGCATGGAAACCTCCGTGCCCAGCAAATAGCAGTACTGATTTCTGCAGTTACCGACAATACAACATGCACAAGGGCTAGTTCTTAGGAATTCGTTCCAAACGTGTGGAGCCCAGAACAGGACCTCCTGGCCGGACTGCGGGCTTCTGGGACAGGTGGATCTTCTTCTCTTAAAGAAGGGGTCCTGGGACGTCACCAGCACTCATCCCACTGGAACCCCAAATCCCGAGCGGGTGGCAGGTTGGGTCACTATCAACATGCGCTTCTGCCGGCAGGATCTTTGTTACCGAGCACGGTGTGGCGCGCACGTCAGAACCGTGATCCACAGGCCACCACGTCCCATGGGGTATCGGCAGCGGCATGACGAGTCTCGCCCGGGCTCACTCTGCCTGGAGTGTGACCCAAAGCCACATCCGTGGCCGCGTTCTGTCGACAGCAGGTGTGCAGGCAGAAAGCCCCCAGCGCGTGCACAGATGACCAACAACTGGCTGTCCCTGTGGCGGGCAGGCAGCGCGGGGCCCACACCCACACCCAGATCCGTGAGAGCCACAAACTAAATGGTAACATCTTACTTTGGTGTCGTCTACACACTTGTCTGAAGGTAACCATCCCAAAACCACGTAAGCTAGTTACACGCAGCGGTGTTGAAAACAATGAGCCTAGTCCCTGTTGGTTAGACATGAAGAAAATGCTAAAGTAACTCCAGAATTAGACACAGTTTGCTAACAGTCCATGAGCTCTGGAGCCGCGGCCCTTTCTGCCTGCAGTCCAGGAGTAGAGGCCAAGGGGAACGGACACACAAACACCTCACAGACGCGCACGGTCTTCCCACCATCCTTAGATGCTTGTGGGGCTCAGACAGGCTCGGAGAGTAAGACCGACCATGAGGGTTTGGCTCGTTTCTCTATCTTCTCAAACAAGGACGAAATAGATGGCCCTTCTGCGAGCCTCAATGCCAAGAGCCGTGGGCCCAGGTCGCCTTTTGGACCCCCCCACCCCCCAGCCCAGGAGGGTGGCGGTGGTCACCTCCAGGCTCCTGTGTCACGGGCGGGGCAAAGAGCCTCTCAGATGCAAAGGACAACATCTTTTTTATTTCCAACTTTATTTCCAACTTAAAACTTCATCATAAAACTTGTCAAATGTGTCAAAAACAAAATGAACAAATTATAGCTGAGATCAGAAACGGCAACACTATGCTGGCAAAGGCTCTTTTCTCATTCCCGGAGAGAGAAGGAAATGTCCTCCTTTCTGCCCCACAGCTTCCTTGGTCAGTCGAGCACAGAGCACGCGGGGACACGCTTTCCGACACCGGAGAAAAGCAGAATCAAAAAGCTGCCTGCTTCCGTTAGTGCGAAGAAAACATGCACAACTGCCCCAAAACAAGCTTTCAAGAGCAAACCGACTTCAGGGTCACACTGACGGAGGCCGGCTCCACTGCCTGCGGCCGCACAGCACAGACATGCACCCAAGTGTCTTGTATGTAAAATGCATCCTTCAAAACCCAAACATACACACTATATTCATTAGATTCCCCTATATTTAAGATAGAACAATTTAACTTTGAACACAAAATTTTAGTGAATTTGCTACTGTTCCATTCTAGGACAATTAATAATGAGACTCCATCAACTAGAATTTAATAGCCACAGCCACCCTACACACATGCAGTAAACTACAGTGGAGAAGTGCTTTGGAACATTTGTTTTAGGTGAACGCCTCCTTCAGGGAGCAGTGGTCTGTGACTCGGCGGGAGGGAGGTACAAAATACAGTATGAACGGCGCAACCTCAGCAGTAGCAAAGCCACGGCTTTATTTAAAAAAAAGTAAAAAAAAACATACAAAAATATCAGCCTGAAATGGCAAGTCTTCAAACACCAATCTGTGTAAAAATGTTTAAATAGTGATGCTACTGCAAAAATATATATTCTATTTTTTTCTATCAGCAAAAGTTTATAAAGGCAAATGAACGGCTGCAGTTGAGGTAGCAAAGCCAAATTCACAAACTTTGGATTGAGAAAAATACCCTTCCTATGTTTTAACAGCATCTTTATACAACATTAAATGAATTCTAATTGTTTTGCAATTTTTAATTGACATGTATTACTTTATAAAACTTAATTTAAAATACTGCAAATGTTTTCGTTAAAAACATACTTAGTTCCTGACTATGTCACATTCAAAATACTGTACAGAAAAATCTGAAGTCCCCATATATTACATGAAAGCTATGTATTTACATTTTCAAATGCAGTTCTAGAAGCTGAGGGTAAGTGAACTGCTCCTAACGCTCCCCCTTCATCCGTGGCTGCTAACGAGCTCTCCCCCACTCTTCGCAGAACGCAGTTAATGCAGGACGGGGGTCTACACTCAAATCACTTAACTAGTAGATGATTTAATTCCAAAGGAAATGGATGAAAATTCTCTTCTCTGAATATAACCAAACATAAATGTGCTTCGAAGGTCACAGTTGGTTTCATGTAAGAAACACCACCGACAAAAACAATCACAATTTGAAAAGTCACCAAAACCCAGACACCCATGGTATTCTTTAAGAATGGATCCTTTCCCATTAGAAAGCAAATTCTAACACCTTTACCTGTTTCCTTCTGTTAATTGTTGTGATTTAATAACAATAAACGTGGCAAGGTGAAGAGGCCACTCAGCCCCACAGTCCTGACCGGAGAAGACAGACGCCGTCCGGGCCCCAGCGAAGGGCTAGTAGACGTAGGGGACGATGCGGTAGGGCACGCGTTGGCGGTACTGCTCCCAGGCCCGGCCGTACTTCGTCCGGCACTGGCGCTCGTCACGCGCCTCACGGTGCACCAACAGCATGGCGAAGTAGATCACGTAGAAATAGGGCAGAATGTGCTTAAAACCTGTGGAGTGCGGCAGCGGACGCATCAAGTATCTTCACGGTCCTGACACTGTCTTCCCTGCTTTTCCCCCCAGTCCTCCCAAGTGAACCGCGAGATTGTTCCCTTTTTCCCATGACAGGGAAGCCCCCCACCCCCACCACGTGGCAGAAGGCAGCATCTGCGGGACAGGCTCTGCAGGGCACAGGGACAGCCGTGCCCTCCCACACCGAGTCCTCGAGTCCACGCTAACTTCGCTCCCCCAGACTCAGCTCAGAAAGAAAGTGATCAGGTGCAGCTGCAGGTGTGGGAGCTGCTGCAGCCAGGGGGAGCACCCGGCCCATCCCCCTTCCCAGGACCCCGCGACGGCACCCCTGGACAGTGCTCACCACAGGGGAGGGACCACGCCAGGGCCATGATGAGATCACCCAAATAGTTGGGGTGACGAACAAAGCCCCACCATCCAGAAACTAGAAGATTTTTTCCGGTTGAAGTATGGATAGTTTTTAAATCTAGATAAAAATAAAAATACATTTATAACGATCTCTACACAAATAGACACACAAAATCTTTGTGCTGGAGATAACATAAATATAAACCAATACTTACGTGCAAGCTTTGGATCACTGGGATTCTTCCGGAATGCATTTTTCTGAGAATTTGCACATCGGAAGATTACGTATCCACAAACTGTAATTTTTTAAAACTTGCACGTTAACAATTTAGATAATCAAATATTTAAAAACATTTGTAATCTCACTTAGAAATGATTTCATGCTCTGAGGAAGTTTCCAAAGGACAGGAATACTCTGAGAGGTTCTGCACTGTTCTTAACTCAATCTCAGAATGTCAAAACAAGAGAACGATCCTGAAAGTTCACCATCCACCAGGGGAATGCAAAACCAATCAATACGGTCACATCCACAAATACAACTGGCTACAGCCCGGGCTGTAATTCCATCAAGGCTGGTGTCCGGCAGAATCAGGAACACGGGGCAAGTCCTCTGGTGCCGTAGCACCTACAAGCTGGAACATGGACGCTGCAGGACTCAAAATCAAACTGCAGCTTGGACCTGGTACCAGGATGACCTGCGCAGAAATACCCGCCAAGTCCCACCACGAGCCTACAAGCTGGTTGGTTTATTTCAGGCTTCAAATGTCTCATCGGCCTTGACGTATCACTGCCTGTTAACCACCATCTCGTCCAGCCTCCACACAGCACTGGATATGGGGCACTCACCCGTAAACTAGGCGCACACCGCCCTGAGCAACACCCAGGCATGGTAAGCTTGGATAACCAAACCAATGATGAAACTAAATCTTAACCAATGTCTGGAATTTCTTCTGCTATGGATACTAGTTAGCGTAGGAAAACTCACTGTATCATATGAAGCTCCTGCTGATTTTCCTACCCTACCTCGGGTGCGGGCATTTAACAGTGTCCTAGGAGAAGAGCCACGCTGACGCTCGTCCACACCCGCCCACGATGCTCCTTGGCTCCCACCAAGCTGCACTCCCCACCCCTCCAACCCTTCCCCACCCGCTCACAACTGAGATCAAACACCCTATCCTCCAGTGAGTCTACACTGACTGACGTTCCCCAGAGACATTTTCTCCACCTTCAACGCGACCTTCCTCGGGCTGTAAGTCCCCCGCTAGTGCGCCAGGCCTCACACATGTCTGAGAGCAGGCGGGCCTAGCGCGGCAGGACCAACCTTCCTGCTTTCCAGGGTGCCCAGCAGAAAAAGCAGGCCCTGCAAAGGAAAAACCGCTGAAGGACAAAGCATCCGTGCTCTCTGCAAGCGCAAGAATCTTTTTGTTTCTCACCCATCACAAACTACTTCAAACCTGAGCTAGTTACGGCCATTTAAAAGGGCGCGTCAGAACGTGTAGCTGCCGGAGCACAAGCGACTCGGTACACAGTACTGAACACGCAGAGGCTGAAATCAGTACTCACGTTTCAGAGCAATAATTAGAGAGGCCATGGGCCAGGACACTTCATTGGGATGGTTGACGAGATAAAAGGCTTGAAAGCTGTAGATAAAGGGAACCCACACTAAATCTCCAAAAGCCAGCATGAATCCAAACCCATCGTGGGTGATGTCCATGGTCGTCAACAATGCTTCCTGCGAGGAAAGAGCCGGAAAAGCCATTTTTAAAGACCTTCGGGGGATGAAAGCTTCTATGTTTCAGGTATACAAATAAAATACTGGTTTCTAGTCCAATTCATACAGAGCTATTGGGGGGCGGTCTGGTTCCCGGGCACGTATCTGCCCCCAGGTCACTCCGCCACCTCCATCTCTGGTCACCGTACCCGCTCGCTCTGCGATGTGGAAATAATGCATCTCGGAAAGGCCACCGTGCCTCCTGCGTCTGCCCGGGGCACCCTTCTCTGACCTCAGCCTACGGCTCCCCGGGCAACACCCCCCACGCCCCCCGAGCCACCTTCCTTGATCCCCCCTGCCCCCTGACCAGACCAAAGCCACACCTGCTCGCAGGCTAAAGCGAACGCCCGAACGGGCCCCACCACTCTCCACACCAGGCCGCAGGAGGAAAGGCAGGGGCCCATGTTGTCACCTCATCCCCCCAGCACACTGCTCGCCTGCTCTGCAGTAAGTGTTCTCCGGGTTTGCCTGAGAGCCTGCCTTTGCGCCCATTGCCCGTGTGCCCGTCTACCTTCTGATCACGATCTGGCTTTTCACGTCTGCCTTCCACGCAGGCTGCCTGGCCGCACGAGCGGACGCGCCCTCTGTGGGCCTGGATACATGCAGGCCGGACTCCGGATGCAGAGCCGCCGCCAGGGTCAGAACTCAGGAGGCCCTGAGGTTCCCAGACTACGGAAGAATGGCAAGTGCGTGCTCTGGGGAAGGATTGCTGGCCCAGGTCAGAGAAACAAAGGGGTCCTTCCAAAGACCGTTCTCTACCAGAAAGACCACGGCACACGACAACAGGAGTCAGCCGCTCTCCAGAGCGCCCACAGCTGGGCGCACAGGCTCTCAGCCCACCAGGTGATTCCTGAGCATGCTGCCGACCGCAGGGATGGGGGGGACGAGCACCGCCAGGAGCGGGCGCAGCGAGGGGGCCCCCAGGGCAGCCCCGCAGAGAGGCCAGGGAACGCTCCCTTGTGTTTCATCACTCTTCTCGGTTCCTTCGGGTCCCCCGACCTAGTGAGGCGGTGGCTCAGCCTCCACCCGGCACCAGGCAGCAGCCAGAGGCTGAAGGCCCTGCCCTGAAGGCTGCGGGGCCAATGACACGGGGACGGCCCCCGCCCGACTGCGCCCCCACGCCCCTTCCCCGCGCTCGACAGCAGACGTGGCCACACGTGCAGAACCTGTGATCTCCAGCCACGTCAACAGGGACCGCCACCACGAGTCAGAAAGCTGGGAGGGGGAGAAACTAGAACTACTAATCACCGACAAGCTACCAGAAAGGAAGTGAAAAAAGCCTCTGAGATGATGAAGCAACAGGGAAGCCTCGTCTGCCTTAGGCGACCGTCCGCCGGCCTCCTAGGGGCCACTCATCACCCGACAGCAGGAGGCCACGCCCGCACGACCAAGCACACTTCTGGGATCGGGGTTTCTTCCAAAAGCACATCGCCGCGGGCAGAGACGCGGACCGACGGGGCCACGGGAGCTCAAAGAGCCGTGAGCTTGTAGCTGAGGCTCCTTGGCCTCCAGAGGCCCTAGCGCTCACAAAGACAAGGCAGATCACTGGAAGACAAGCACCGGGCTTTCCGAGTCGCTCTGACGGTGCTCTTGGCGGCCGGCCTAGCCACTGACCCCACGGCCCGCGGGAGCCACCTCCGACTCCAGACGCCAACAGACTGGCGCGCGAACTGGCCCTGCAACAGGATCACATCGGCTGCCAATTGTTTTTAAAACCGAGAGAAAACTCACTGTGAAATCTGGAGGCACAGATTACAAAGACACCAGGAAACTGGTAACCTGGGTGTAAAAAGGCCTGAGGAATACATTATTTTCAAGGGGAATCTCCTCAGTTGAGATAAAGAGTCTTCAAGGAGCAGAAAACACTGACAGCTTTTCAGCGTGAGGAAAGCCTCGGGTTAGGAACCTGGCCTGACTTAAGCCGGTTTCCTCCATTACCGGGACTTCTGACTTTCTATCCATCTGGCCAGAGCTATCTGTGTATTTTCAAACACCAACAATAAACCGCCCCCCAGTATGTAAAACTAGCCGTCTCTTGATAATCCAGAAAGCACTATCCTAATTCAATGATGATCTATCCATCTTTCATTTGATACAGTAATTAGGAAACTGAGATTTATTTATGAATCGATCACACCCACAGATCTTAAATACTTCGCACCAAGGAGCACTTGACACACACACAGAAGCACCAGCAAATTCCCAGACACTTCCCATGCGTTAGCGCTCACCATGTCCGCTCCAGGGGCCGCGGGGACGCGCACACACTCCAGGCCTCACCAGCCTGGGAGGGGTGCACCCCCCCACCCTGTGCGGGAGGCCGAGGCTCCGAGCAGTCAGGCAGGCCATTCACCCGCACTCCAAGCCCCGACTCCCAAGGCCTCTGCTCCTAGAATGAATTACCTCGTTCCAGAGAGCGTCCACCACATACAAGAGCTGGAAACTGTTAACCAAAATCATCGCCAACGATGGAGCAGCTCGATCCTGTAGCTTCATCTCAGCCAAAAGCATCACCAAGTTCACAACCACCTAAAAGAAAAGGGGTGAGTACCATCTCATTCCCCAGACCCTTCGCCACCACGGGGGGAGACGGTCACCTCACAGCCAAGAAAGCCACAGCGTCCACCTGACCACGCAGCGACCTGCAGGGCCGAGACGCCAACACCATGAACCCAGGTGTGATGCCCCAGGAAGGACACGCGGTCACCTCCGTGGGACACTTGTCAAAAATGCATCACTCACACCAATCATGACAAGACATCGGGCCCCCTACACGGTATGTGACCAGCACGCTGCAAGTGGCCAGGTCACACGAGCCAGGGAAAGACTCCAGGAGACAAAGCGGAGTCACAACCACGTGCCCTGGAGGGCTGTCCAGCAAGGGTCCCGGAACAGAAAAAGGCCAACAGTGGAAAAAAGAGGGGAAACTCAACAGGTCTGTGGAGTTAGCTGATAATCCTGTAACATGGGTAATCTGCTGGCCCCGAGGCTCCATGGTTGTGTCCCATGTTCATGCGGGGGACAAGCAAGGTGCCAAAGGGAATCCTGACTCTGTTTTTGCAACGCCCCCACAGGTCTAAAATTAGGTCAAAATTCGTTTTGTTTTCTTTTTAAAGATGACAAGAATACATTTTTTCTTATGTGAATTTACCTACACTATCGCGTTCCTGCTATAATCAGAATAAAACAAACCCTTAATGTTTCATGCCTATAACAAGGGCATCTTAACCCCGAGGAGTCTATCTGCAGGAACAAAATACTTCAAATACAGATTCGTGGAAAGTTATACTTATTCCTAAAAACAGATAAAACTATTCCTAAAACCCACAGTTTCCTTGAAATGATCTAGAGTTTTTTCTAAATGCAAGACTACTGTGTACGCCAGAATTGAAATTTAAAGAAAGACGACATACCCATCCGATCAATCCGGGGCGCAATTCACAAAAGTACTTGAGATCAAAAGTACCAATCCGAGGATTAAGTTCGCGGCCAATGAAGAAATCATAGATGGCATTTCCTGGAAAGAGAAAGTTCTTACGCAAACAGTACGGCAATTGGGAGGCTTACAAAGAGCACTGCTGTCTGCCGTCTGGGGTCCCAGGCCAGCCCATCCAGGTGCGGCAGGGGGCAGCGTGGGCAGGTGCGCCAAGGAGGACGGACCATGAGGAGCTGTCTGGAAGCAGCAAGGCCTCGAGGGCCAGAGCCCATGATTTTAAGGGAACCGGAGCTTTTTTAGTGATCTCCGTGACTTGGCTTGGTCTTTTTAAGGATGTTTACTATTTCAAACCAAAGGAGAAAATCATCCTAAATTTGTGATGCTGATGTTACTAAAACGTTGGTGACTATACGTTAAGTCATGACAACAAAAGGTCTTACTTGTCATCCCGTGACTGAAAAAGGAAGAGAATCGACTAGGAAAGGAGGAGGGAAATATTGAACATATGTTTTCCCTTTAAATGTATTTTCCTTTACATGTTTTCTCCACGCTGTTCTTCCTTCTTTTCCCCGGGGGCCCAGAGCGGCAGCGGC